TTTGGCTACTTTTTCCCAGATTAGCAGCTCCTTATCTTCACAAGGTGGAAAAAATGACTAAATTAGCCTGGAAAAAGCAAATAATTCCTGGCACGCGCTGCGGCCCGTTGACGACCGCCCTAATCAACTGCCCGGATGACGAGGTTATGTTGACAACATTCTGTCGACCGCAGACACAGAACAGGAAGTATTACTTGAGCACATAGATTTAAAAGCTCTTTTCGCTGGAATTAGCATGAAAATCTCCGCGAATATGTTTCGAATTCGAAAATTGTCAATTCCAACATATCCACCGAAGACCGTATAGCGGCAGAAGAAAAAAGTATTCAGGCGTGAGTTACGATATCGACAACGACCGCTTTACAATAAAAGTACAATTTCCATCAAAATATGACCTTACGAAGCGTGATATCGTTAGACAACTTGAATCAATTTACGATCCACTGGGCATCACTACCCCGCTCCTCATAGGGTTGAGGTCCGCAATGAGAGAAATTCTATGCGATAATTTTGATTGGAACAGCCAAACTCCACAAGAATCATCCAAGAAATGGATTACTAAATGCAAGGAAATTGATGATGACATAATATCGCCACGCATTCTCATTCCACCATCCACTGATGAGAAACAACCGCTCTTTGGGTATTCGCAGACGCTAGCAGGGATGGGATAGCAGCATGCGCATGTGCAATCAACCCACAACAATGAAGTATCGCAGATCATTTGTGGAAAGACTCGCTTGACTTCGAAAAGAAACGAACAAACAATACCATGCTTAGAATTGCTCAGAATTTTAATCGCTCTTAGACTAGCTGTCTGGGTACAGGAAGCAATCAGTGTCACTATAAAAAAAGTTAATATAATAGTAACCAGCGAAGTTGCTCTTTGCTGGATTAAATGGTCGCGCAAGCTACCAGTTTTCGTTACCAATCAGTGTGCTCGCATTCATAAACTAAGAACTCAGATAGAAGCCGAGGATACTGCCGTTCAGTTCTAACACGCTCCTACCTCCTATAACCCTGCGGATGCCGGCACAAGGGGACTGTCGAAGGAGCAAATTATTGACAGCTCCTGGGTAAAAGGCACGCGCTGGCTTTCCTAAAAATCCCTTTCTTGCGGCATTATTCAAGTACTAGTGCCAATCGAAACTGATGCGTCCCCTGTCGTAATCAGTCTCCCGCACGCTAGCGCAGTTGAGTTCACAGCACCGCTTTTCAACATTACACGGTTCTCCAAGCTTTCAGCTGCTCTGCGCACGGTCGCAAGGGTGCAAATTTCTCCACCGAATTTTATCAAGGGTGAACGAGAAAAGACACACGTCCATGCACATTGCACAAAAGTAACTATTCGCAATAGAGATCCAAATTAACGCTAGGGACATAATGGCAGAACACTCGTCCATGCAGATGTTCACAAAAACATCCATGAAAGTGAACTAGGTAGGAACCTTAGGAACCTCATTATCCGCGATAAGAACGGTGTCATAAGGAACATGTCACGCTTGCAGGACGCTTACATCCCCATTGACGCGAAATCTCCCATTTTTGCCAACCAGAAGCGACCTAACTAGGTTTATTATAACCAGTTTCACAACAATAACTTCCACTGCAGCAAAGACCAAACGCTAACTGTTGTAAGGCAGAGATACTGGTTACCGTGCGCATCCGCGTCATTCACGACCTACTTAAAAAACTGCGCGGTCTGAAAGATGACAAGGCATGCCGTTCGGTTCTCCAAGCATGCCACCTTTACCATCGGATAGGGTTATCACCACAAAACCATCCCGCAATATTGGCTGAGATTTCATCCGTCCGTTTCTCACAAAGCCGGATGGAAACATGTACATATGCCTGTACACGTGCCTAACAACAAGGGCCGTCCACTTAGAAGTTGTTGGAAACACGTCAGCAGGTGTCTTCTTGATCAGCTTCATTCGTTTCATATACAGGGGAGGCCAAAAAAAGTCACTTTTCTTCATTGACTTTCGAGGCGCTATAGATTACCTTTATTGAATTCTCATCGGACCCTTTCACAATCATATTAAAGAGCATATTAAATACTATCATGACACTCCGCCACAGACGTCTGGACGAGCACCATCGGAGATTCTGGCGCGCGACCGCGATGTGGTGCCTGAGATCAGCGAGATAGCCGGTTTCCGCCACCGTAGACCACCCTGTTGGACTCCGCCCGAACCGGGTAATTGAAGGAATTCAGGTCAGGTGACCTACTTGGAGATTCCATCTTCTTCAGGTACCCAGCCCCCTTCCATTCCAAGTAGGCGAGAGTTTCTCCAACGGCTTTCGATTCCATGTGGTGGCACCCAATGCTGTAGCAGTACAAAGTTTCCAAGGAGGTACGGACGACGAGATGTGAGGAGGATATTTTTCACGAGTTGCTCAATGTAATCGCCAGCGCTCACCTTATGTCCGGATTCCTTGAAGAAAATATTGGTCTTCCCATTCCAGGTATGTCCGGTCCATACCATCAACTCGCGCCTTGACGACTGTGGTGAAGATGATGTCCTAGACCGTGGCAACATTGTCGGAGCTGCTAGATGTTGGAGGTCATCCAGATCGAGAGTACTGGTTTCCAGGTAGCAATCCATGGGTGACTCCATACTAGAAATTTCGCAGCTGTTTGGAGGTGACGTGAATTCCAAAGATCTTCTCCAGTCAGGCTGCCACTGGAGATGACTTCATATTTTGGTGTACATGAAGGTGATGGGCGAGAGCCAGCTCCTGCTTGTAGAGGAACATCTTGGGTATCTTCCGCTCTGGTACTCGTATCCACGTCCTCTGTCTGGGCAACGAAAACTTTGCTGATATGTGACACAGTCGAAGTGACTTTTTTTGCCCCCCCCCCCTGTAGAGACGAGGCGTCCCACACATAATCCGCTCAGATTGTAGTGCCAATTTCCAGCTAGGTGCAAAAATTATAGTCGAGTTTCCGACACCAGCTGATCCTATAGGAAGCTCAGCAATGAGCTACTGTGCCGATGATGGCATTAAATGGATATTCAGCCTGCCTGTCAGTCCATGGATGGGTGGTGTTTGTGAAAGACTGGACGGTTCCGTAAAATGGTGCATGCGAAAATCAAGGAAGCGATTGAGCTTCATACAGATAAGCGCGGTCGTTGCAGCAATTGAAGCAACAATCCTAACCGGCCCCTAACAAAGATAAGTGTAACAGATTTCTCAGAAATTCCACTGAGACTGGTCTATTTCCTTCAAGGAAACACAAAATTTTCACCTCAAGATTCCGGGAACCTTGTTGAATCGGAAGATCCCTCATATGAACCAACATGCATACAAACAAGGAAGCAAGCCTTAGAAGCGCTCAACTATTCCGAGGAAACCGCTAACAACTTATGGGAAAAGTGGTGTTCCGAATATTTAAGTATCTTGAGAGAAAGCCAAAAACTTTATTCAAAGAAAAGGCATGTCACGAGAGCTACACTGTTCACAAAACTCTGTCGGCTCTGTAGACTTTCCTCAACATAATCTACCTTTAGCACATACATAGGGAAGTGTCTGAGGAGATGGTATCCAGAAAACCCTGTCGACTTTGTGGAGTTTCCTCAACACAACCTACCCTTTAGCACATCCATATAGAAGTGTCAGAGGAGATGGGGTTCAGAAAATTGTCGGCTTTGTGAAGCTTCCTCAACACAACCTACCTTTATCACATCCATAGGGAAGTGTCTGAGGAGATGGGGTTTAGAAAACTCTGTCGGTTTTTTGGAGATTGCCAAGGTTTCGAAAATCGGGTGGTCCGGGCACGTCATGCGCTTTGAGGACTACCACTAGACTGGATTTCACGGAATGTCAAGCGAACGCCTGGACGACCGCCTATGCCATGGTCAGACTTCTTCGTGAAAGCTCTATGAAGTTCATCGTGTCCCTCGAGCAGAGAGAGTTCATTAGGCAACTCTTGCACGTTACAGGGACGAATGGAGACGTTACTGGTGCCCGCTCGAGAAACTCGGTGATCAGCGGGAGCACAGGTGATCAGGTGATACTTCAAACTCTTTGAACTCGGGAAATATTCCGCGCCGGGGATTCGTTGGGGATTTTTTGAGTTTTCACCCTTCAAGCGGTTATACTTTTTTCATTCTCAATGTTTGAAAAATTCTAGGCATACTTAAAAAGTAGGGATAGAGTAGAGGGATTGCGCTTCCCAATGAGTGCCGAACTTCCCGCAAAGGATGACTCCCTCGAAAGTTGGCGCGCTGGGATTCATAGGAGGAATTTAGAGCAACTCGAGAACTCTATTCCCCCAACCTGTTGTAGGAGACTTCGTAAGCTTTTCGCAACAGATAAGTAAAAGACATTCTCTCGTCGATAATGTGTAGCAGACAGGTCGTGGAATGCCGATCTACTCCTCCTTCGGGTCCGCCGTGCATCCAGTGCCTATGCCGAAGTAACGGATAAGGTGACAGCACCACCAGTGCTCCCTGTCTGACATAATTAATGATGAAGAAAAGGTTATGAAACACCTCGAAAATTTGAACGAAAAAAAGAAAGATGGGTCTGAAATGGATTTGACGGAATTTAATATACAGCTGTGGAAAAAAAACTTGAACAATCCAAAAAATCGAAATTTTCTATCAACTCATTACTTGTTTTTCCTGGCTTGTGTACCGAAACATTGTGGATATAGATGAAGCATGCGTGAAGAATTTTTTTCAAATCAGTAAAAATGACTATAAACACAGAACTACATGAAATCTAGGTATAATCCAGAATGCGCTTTCAGCTCAACCCCACCAGTCACCTTTGAGGCGACTCGAACTCGGTCATTTTGACATCCGCATGCTGAAATAGACCTAGATTCCACGTAGTTCTATGTTTGTTTATAGTCATTATTACTGATTTGAAAAACGTTCTTCACGCATGCTTTATCTATGTCCACAATGTTTCGGTACACAAGCCAGAAAAAGCCAAGTAATGAGTTGGTAGAAAATTTCGATTTTTTGGATTGTTCCAAGTTTTTTTCCGCAGCTGATTGAATTCCGTCAAATTTATTTCAGACCCATCGTTTCTTTTTTTCGTTCAAATTTTCGAGGGGTTTTACGGTCTTTTCTTCGTTCTTCATTATGTCAGACAGGAGCACTGGTGATGCTGACACCTTACCATCACTTCGGCGTAGGCACTGGATGCAGGACCCGAAGGAGGAGTAGATCGGCGTTCTACGACCTGTCTGCTACACATTATCGACGAGAGAATGTCTTTTACTCATCTGTTGCGAAAAGCTAACGAAGTCTCCTGCAACAGGTTGAGGGAATAGAGTTCTCGAGTTGCTCTAAATTTCTCCTATGAAACCCAGCGCGCCAACTTTCGAGGGAGTCATCCTTTGCGGGAAGCTCGGCACTCATTGGGAAGCGCAATCCCTCTACTCTATCCCTACGTTTTAAGTATGCCTAGAATTTTTCAAAAATTGAGAATGAAAAAAGTTATAACCGCTTGGAGGGTGAAAACTCAAAAAATCCCCAACGAATCCCCGGCGCGGAAGATTTCCTGAGTTTGAAGAGTTTGAGGTATCACCTGTGTCACCTGTTTCCTGTTGATCATCGAGTTTCTCGAGCGGGCGCCAGTAACGTCTCCATTCGTCCCTGCAACGTGCAAGAGTTGCCCAATGGACTCTCTCTGCTCGAGGGACACAACGAACTTCATACCATTCGCTCAGAGCTTTCACGAAGAAGTCTGACCATCGCATAGGCGGTCGTCCAGGCGGTTCGCTTGGCATCCCTTGAAACCCAGTCGGTGATCGCTCTGGTCTAGCGGTCGTCCTCGGAGCGCATGACGTGCCCGGACCACCTGGTCTTCGAAACCTTGGCAGATACGGCGGCGTCTCTGATCTTCGATCGTCGGCGGAGTGCGGAGCTCCGGATTCCCTCTCTCACTTGCGTGGAGCGGAAAACTCCGAGCATCGCCCTTTCGATGGCGCGTTAAATAACGTCAACCGCATGTTCATCCTGCTTTCGTAGAGTCCAAGTGTTGCATCCCCAAAGAAAGATATGGCTCTCTGAACTTGCACCGCGGGTCCAGCCACAGTATAACGCGCTCCAATGTAGGTACCCAGTCTGCTTGCTGCAACCGCGGTAGCTTGTATGATCGTTTTTATCTTCTGACTACTCTGTATTATTATATATCTACGCATGATTTTATGGTAGCTGGATAATTTTTGTGTGTGTATTGTGCTGTTTTAAGTTGATTCATGCTTGATCTCCTTTTTCAGGCTTCACTGCGAATTCATCATCACGACCAATGAGTAACAGGTGAGTACAATTGTGTTTGATGTTTTTATGCAGGTTCTCAATTCGGTTGATGTTTTATGACTCCCTGTTTATGTGAAGTTTGTTTTTTT